CCCCAAAACCCCAAAACCCCTAATGATTAATAAATTAGAGATCAATGAAGTATAAAAATCTAATTACAATAATTGCTTAAACTTTACCCAAAAATATAAAAATAGATAATATAATTATAAAAGAGAAAGAGAAGAATAATGGGAGAACGAATGCTTAATAGAAGTTTGCTAAATCTTTTTCAGATTCAGACTTAGCTTTAAAGGACAATAGAAAAGGCTAAATAATCCAATATCGAGGGCGCTCGTGATTAGCTAGATGAATTCTTGAACTTCATTAAGGAATAATACTTTGTGCTAGATGAGAAGTAGAAGAATGTCAAGATAAAAGATATTGAAGCTCCCAAAGTAAAGCAAGGGAAGAATATAAATTCAATCACTAAGTAATCAGTGGATTTGAGCTACATAGACAAAGCCAGCTTTACCTATAACATAAAGTATATTGAGATGCCAAACAGTCTCAGTGAGTTTGCAAAGATATTCAAACTTAACAAAAATGATATTGTCAGAAAGATAAAGTCATATCCAACTGGATAGCATGAACTTTCTTGCATCATTCACTCTCAAGAGAGAAACAAAATATATCTACACTAGGCTTAGACATCTAAAGTGCTAAGATATGATGCAGTCTAATTCACTCAGGATGAGAATTTCTAAGAGCTCAAAATCATAGAAAACATTCAAGGAGGAATCATGGCAAATTAGTTTATCATATTTGTGGGAACTAGAAATATACACTACTTCCCTGAATCATATAATTAAGTCAGTATAAAAACTCTCGAGACTAATAATAGAGGAGATTTCAGGGACATTTGCTTTGATAAAGGCAGAGATCTGCTTATACTAGCTTTTACTTCAAACCTGATGGAAAGATCTAGTATTTTTGTGATGAATGTAACTAAAGAGGAGATACAAATCATAGAAAGATTGAATGATGGATTCAATAATAGTATCATTAGATGCAAAAAGGTTTTAGAGCCTTAAAAGTTCATGTTTGCATGTCAAAAAGGTTTCTCATCCTGCTACATATCATCGAATGGAACCATATCCTAACAAGAGAATTATCTTCCAAGTTATTAGAATATCTGTGATTTCGAAGAGATTAGGAAGGGTGAATATATATTCTGCACAAGAGAGAAGTGTGCCTACTTTATCTACAGAATGAATGATTAATAGATTCATGATATACCGTTAGGATAAAGCTAACAGCCATTTTCAATGCGATTGATAAACTTTCCAGGCATTAAAACTTAATCTCCCTTCTTGATTAACTATGAGAATCAATACCTTAACATTGTTGACTATAGATTCTAAAAGGCATTCAGATTAGGTCTAAATAACTTCAAGGCTTAAGCTTTTATCTAATATGGCAATAGGCTAGTAGTTTGGGTTGATTCAATTGGAGGAGTCAGCATCGTTTGTGCTTAGATAAGTGAAGATGGCAATAACATCATCACTAAATATGAGATAAGCAATGTCTTTCTTCAAATTATCAATAAGATCACAAAGAGTTGAGATTTTAAAAAGAAAAGCTGAAACAAGGCTTTTGGGTTATTTTTATTTTTAATTTTCAATTCTAAGAATCATAGGATTATTGATACAAAAGGGGTTTTGGGGTTTTGGGGTTTTGGGG